GAAGAATTTTGTTCTGTTTTCAATTAGAGAATTGAGTTATTTTTGCTTAATGTGTACATACTTCGTTTCTTTGATAAAACTGAAAATTTGTTGAGGGTAAAATTTTTTTTTCCTCCTGAAATAGCTAGTTAATAAAGGGGAGATGACTAATAAGAACTCAGTTAATTTCCATTGAACTGTTATCAATTATGTCTTACCAAATATATTTTATCATATGCACATGTGTTTATATACTAGGATCCCAGTCCTATGAATTTCTTGACTATAAAAACCTACATGTAGTGTGTAATTTACTTAATGGCTCTTATGCACAGAACTCTTCACCCCGTTTTTTATTCTTAGAATGAAACTATTGTCTACTTTAAATAATCCAATAAAGAATCCTGTCCTGTTTTAAAAGATTTATCTTAATTGCTAATCTAATGGTTGTGTATGTTTCTCAGATTTTATCTTCAAAAAAGCAAAAAGGCTTCCAAACTCATTTTGTAATGATGTACAGTATTTTCATCTGTTTCTTTACTTTTCCCACAAACATTGATCACTGAGCTTGAATCTGGGGATAGTGAAAGGGGAGATGAAAAAGAAAACAGTGTTTGGAGTTGAGATGGATTTTTTATGCACGTGGCTGGAGTTGTGAGCTTATGTATGTTGCAGGAAAGGGTCTGCAGGAAGGGAGATGCCTTACAGGGTCCAAGAGTAGACGCTGCTTGTCTAACACTTAGAAATGAATTGTTCCAGAAGATAAACGTGTTGACAAAGCAAGAGACTTCATTGGGAAGTGGCCCCCAGGTGAAGAGCAGCAGGGTAAGGGAACCCAGAACTGCTCTGCCATGTGGCTTGCAGTGTTGGGTTTTATGGTAATGGAGTTAGTTTCTGGGTTGTCTCTGGCTAATCATTCTGACTCAGGTTCCTTCCTGGTGGCCTGTGCATTGTTCAGCCAAGATGGATTCTAGCGAGAAGGATTCTGGGAGGTTGGCAGGACGTATGAATTGGTGTCTCACTACTTTTGACTTTTTCCGAGTTCTTCCAGTTGGTGGTAGCTTCCGTGTTCCCTACCAAGGTCTCCTGTTGTAAGATAACTCATGCAGGTGGTTACTGTCAACCCTGGCCAGGGTAGGTGGCTTTGGGTAGTGGTTCCCCATATATATAAAATATGTTAATTAGATATATAATATGTGTATATATATATAATATATAGGCATTAGAATATAAGTTTTGTTTGCTCATTTGTTTCTAGCCCCATTGCTTGTCATTTCTCAGCAGCTCCTGAAATTTTTAGTGTAGATTTCCTCTGCTAGCTAAGAGAATCTTGAGAAAACTTGATATTTACATTTAGTCAATAATTTAGAAAGCCTCTAAAATCCTTTATTTTTTTATAGCTATTTCATATTTTAATTAGTATATTTTTGAACTTCACTTTCCATTTCCCATAGACCTAAGTTTATCAACCTTTATCACTTTATTTCTTCTTCATTTTTTAGGTTCATGCTCAAGTCCCGAGAAGTCACCCTATTTTAAATCTTTTTAATTTCTCTGAAAATGTATTTGTAGATTTGTGCTTATAAGAGCATACAGTAGAAAGATAGCTCTGATTTTAAGGAGTAGTGTGAAACTAATGATGGCCATTGTATTCATCCAGAGACATAGGTTTGAACTTTGCTGTAGGGGAAATAAAGGATTGGAAAAATAAAAAAGATAGATTGCACATGAGAAATGAAGGAGGGGAAGGAGATTGGGTTTTCTACTCTGGCTTTCTGTGTTATTGATACTGCATATAGTTAAGGGAAGGAATAAAGTAGTTACAGGTTTTAGTAGTGTGAGTTCAGGTTTAAACTGATTTTGAGAAGCCTGTGGTACATCTAGAGGTAAGGAACAAGGAAGTTGATTTTGTTTGATTTAGGAGTACACAGGCATAACATTTCCAATGGAGATGGAAATGCAGGATTTATTGTCTTAAGAGTTTTAATAAAAGCTATAGGCAAATGAATAAAAGAATTTCTACAAGTTAGTAGTAAAAGGTTCAGTTCAGTTCAGTGCAGTCACTCAGTTGTGTCCGACTCTCTGCGACCCCATGAGCTGCAGCATGCCAGGCTTCCCTGTCCAACACCAACTCCCAGAGCCTACCCAAACTCATGTCCATTGAGTCGGTGATGCCATCCAACTGTCTCATCCTCTGTCGTCCCTTCTCCTCCTGCCCTCAATCTTTCCCAACATCAGGGTCTTTTCAAATGAGTCAGTTCTTTGTATCAGGCGGCCAAAGTATTGGAGTTTCAGCTTCAACATTAGTCTTTCTAATGAACATCCAGGACTGATCTCCTTTAGGATGGACTGGTTGGATCTCCTAGCAGTCCAAGGGACTCTCAAGAGTCTTCTCCAACACCACAGTTCAAAAGCATCAATTCTTTGGCACTCAGCTTTCTTTCTAGTTTAACTCTCACATCCATACATGACTACTGGAAAAATCATAGCCTTGACTAGATGGACCTTTGTTGACAAAATAATGTCTCTGCTTTTTAAATGCTATCTAGGTTGGTCATAACTTTCCTTCCAAGGAGTAAGCGTCTTTTAATTTCATGGTTGCAGTCACCATCTGTAGTGATTTTGGAGCCCCCAAAATAAAGTCTCTCACTGTTTCCACTGTTTCCCCATCTATTTTCCATGAGGGGATGGTACCAGATGCCATGATCTTAGTTTTCTGAATGTTGAGCTTTAAGCCAACTTTTTCACTCTCCTCTTTCACTTTCATCAAGAGGCTCTTTAGTTCTTCTTCACTTTCTGCCCTAAGGGTGGTGTCATCTGCATATCTGAGGATATTGATATTTCTCCTGGCAATCTTGATTCCAGCTTGTGCTGGAATAAAAGGTAAATAAATAGAAAAAATGGGTAAAAAAACTTGGAAGAGGCACTTTACAAAAGATGATATGCAAATAACAGATTAGCATATTAAAATGGAACTTCACTTCATTAGATGTCATAGAAATGCTAAGTGATACCACAATGACTGTACCATTATCTAGAATGCCTAAAATGGAAAGAAAGAAAATAAAAAGACATTAGCAAGTGATTAATAAGATCATGGAGCAACTTGAGTGTTCACTCTCTGTGGATATGAAAACTCTTAGTAGCCAGTATCTCTTAAAGTGGAAAAAATGAACAGATGTGATCATTATGACCAGTCCTTGAAAAATGGAAAATGGCAATGTGTGTGTGATGTGTGTGAGTTTGAGAAAGAGAGAGAGATTGATATGTAGAGTTTGGTAATACTTTTACCATGAGTAATTTCTGTGGGAAATAAAGCCCACCAGCCCAGACTGAAAGAATAGACTTGGAGACACTAGGTGCAGCTAGAAGAGAGGCTTTAATGACAGTCTTTCAAGATCTGGTGTCTGGTGGGCAGGCATTCCCAGTGTCATTAAAGCAATTTTATACCCTAGCATGCAAATCCTTCCCACAGTTCCTTCTTGGCTGAGTACTGTGGGGTGAACAGTCTTCTCTGATGTTTCCTAGGTTTGTTCCCTCTCTGTTTATGGGCTGGCCCCTCCCTGACATCTTGTTTCTTCCTTTTCTGTGCACCTATTCCTGTTTTTCTGTTTTGAATTCACCAGTAGAATGAGGCTCCATGAAAATCCTAGACATTCCACCCTCCCTTTGTTTGCCCGGACTTTCCAGTTTTATAATCCTTACGGTTACTACATCAGTAAGCTGTTGGGCAACTTTGGCTGATAGTAATTTTTCCACCCAAAGCCAGCACCCTTGAAAATGGACTATTTCAAGTTTTTTTATTTCTTAACAATTTCAAGCTACCAGTGGTTTAAAAAAAAACCTTGCAAAATTCTTCAATGTTTAACAATCAGTTTTAGCCAGCTGCTGCCTAATCCAATACTTCTATTTTTAGATATAGCCAAGAGAAGTGCATATGTGTTGACCCAAAAGACAGATAGAAAATGTTCACAGCAGGTCTATGCCAAATGCCCAGAATGCCAAAACCCAGAAACAACCTTAATGTCAATTACATTGGAATTGATGAATAGTGGTATATTCACATAATGAAATGCAACAGTGAAAAGAATGGACTATTTAGAATCTCATTACACATCATAATAGTAATAGGTGTCACAAACATAGTTGAAACCAGACACAAGAATATATACCATATTTTTCAATTTATATAAAGTTCAATAGCAGGCCAACTTATCTTGAGTGTTAGGAGTCAAGATAGTTGTTATCCTTATTTGGAGTCATGACCAAAACGTGGCACAATGAATGGTGGACCTTGTAAGGTTCATGTTCTGTTTCTTGATCTGAGTGCTATTTACTTGAATGTATTTGCCTTGTGAAAATTCATTAACTGTAACTTATAATTTGTATCATTTCTAAGTGTATTTTTTTATGTCAACAAAAATACTTACAAAAAGCATTTGAACAAATAGGCAGTTACCCGGAGATGAGATATATAAAATGAGAAGAGTTGACAGAACTTCGGGGGATGCAGAAACCTTACACATGTGTTCCTATTTCTTTCCCCATTTTCCTCGGGATTCCTTCCAGCTTTTTCTGTGAAAGCATTACATAAGGCAAGGTTAATACCAAGAATACTGCTCTGTTGCATTTCTGCCTAGAGGTTGTTCCCAAAGGGACTTTTGGACTGAATTTTTTCTTAGATTTAGAGTTAGAAGAACTGCCATCATGAAGAAGACTCCCTGAAGGCAGGAGATGGTGCTCACTACAGAATAGCAACAGTTTTCTAAACCCTCCTAGTGTGTTGGATCTCAGTAAATGCCCTGTCATCATCTCCGACTGATGTACTGAAATAATGTACTTTGTGAATTTTTTGGTTTGAGAAACTGGGAGAAGGGAAGCAATCTTGTACTTAGAGTGCTTTGAGAAGTAGGGAAGTCCTTCCAGTAAACAGAAAGGTCTCTCGCTAAAGCCTGTTAATGTATTATATTAGAAATGTGTCTGTTTAGCTAAACTACTGCATACTTCTCTCTTTTTTCCAGAAATGGCAAGAAGTCTTTTGAAGACATCGCCTGACCCTGTAAAGACAAAATTGCTGCATCAGATAGGATTGTCACTTTATAATACTTCTCATGGCTTCCATGAAGAAGAAGTGAAAAAAAAACTTGAACAGTTTCCTGGTGGATCTGTTGACCTTCAGAAGGAAAACAATGGCATTGGCATTCTTACGCTGAACAATCCAAGTAAAATGAATGCCTTCTCAGGTATAGAGATCTTTCTTATGTTAAAGAATGATACCAAATCTAACCTGCTATCTTGTGATCTTTATCCTTAAACTCTGTAGACAGAATTCTTGAAAGTCATGGTACTCTTTGTAGAACATGAAAAAACAAAAAGTTGTCACATGAACCAGTAATATTTTTAAAATTTATTTATTTTTAATTGGAGGATAACTATGTTATAATATTGTGTTGGTTTCCGCCATACATCAATCAGTCATAGTTATACATACGTCTCCTTCCTCCTGAACCCCCCTTTCACCTCCCACCTGATCCCCTCTATGTTGCCACAGAGCATTAGTTTGAGCTCCCTGCATCAAACAGAAAATTCCCACTGGCTATCTGTTTTACGTATGGTAATGTATATGATTCCATGCTACTCTCTAAATTTCTCCCAGCTTCTCCTTCCCCTACTGTGTCCACAAGTCTGTTCTCTATGTCTGTGTCTACATTGCTGCCCTGTGAATAGGTTCATCAGTACCATTTTTCTAGGTTCCATGTATATGTATTATTAATATATGATACTTGTTTTTCTCCTTCTGACTTACTTCATTCTGTATATTAGGCTCTAGGTTCATCCATCTCATTAGAACTGACTCAAATGCATTCCTTTTTATGACAGTAATATTTCATTGTATATATGTACCACATCTTTTTTATATGTTCATCTATTGATGGGCATCTAGCTTGCTTCCCTATCTTAGCTATTGTAAATAGTGCTGCAGTGGATATTGGGGTACATATGTCTCTTTCAGTTTTGGTTTTCTCAGGGTATATGCCCAGTAGTACGATTGCTGGGTCATATGTAGTTTTGATGAGATGAGAAAACTGAACTGAATTATGAGTGACATTGAGCAACTTTTCATGTATTTATTCAGTTCAGTTTCTCAGTCGTGTCTGACTCTTTGCGAACCCATGAATTGCAGCACGCCAGGCCTCCCTGTCCATCACAAACTCCCGGAGTTTACTCAAACCCATGCCCATCGAATCGGTGATGCCATCCAGCTATCTCATCCTCTGTAATCCCCTTCTCCTCCTGCCCCCAATCTCTCCCAGCATCAGGGTCTTTTCCAATGAGTCAACTCTTCGCATGAGGTGGCCAAAGTACTGGAGTTTCAGCTTCAGCATCAGTCCTTCCAATGAACACCCAGGACTGATCTCCTTTAGGATGGACTGGTTGGATCTCCTTGCAGTCCAAGGGACTCTCAAGAGTCTTCTCCAATACCACAGCTCAAAAGCATCAATTCTTTGGCACTCAGCCTTCTTTGCAGTCCAACTCTCACATCCATACATGACCACTGGAAAAACCATAGCCTTGACCAGATGGACCTTTATTGGCAAAGTAATGTCTCTGCTTTCTAATATGCTATCTAGGTTGGTCATAACTTTCCTTCCAAGGAATAAGTGTCTTTTAATTTCATGGCTGCAGTCACCATCTGCAGTGATTTTGGAGCCCAAAATAATAAAGTCTGACACTGTTTCCACTGTCTCCCCATCTATTTCTCATGAAGTGATGGGACTAGATGCCATGATCTTAGTTTTCTGAATGTTAAGCTTTAAGCCAACTTTTTCACTCTCCTCTTTCACTTTCATCAAAAAGCTTTTTAGTTCCTCTTCCCTTTCTGCCATAAGGGTGGTGTCATCTGCATTCTGAGGTTATTGATATTTCTCCTGGCAATCTTGATTCCAGCTTGTGCTTCTTCCAGCCCAGCATTTCTCATGATGTACTGTGCATATAAGTTAAATAAGCAGGGTGACAATATGCAGCCTTGACGTACTCCTTTTCCTATTTGGAACCAGTCTGTTGTTCCATGTCCAGTTCTAACTGTTGCTTCCTGACCTGCATACAGGTTTCTCAAGAGGCAGTTCAGGTGGTCTGGTATTCCCATCTCCTTAAGAATTTTCCACAGTTTATTGTGATCCACACAGTCGAAGGCTTGGGCATAGTCAATAAAGCAGAAATTGATGTTTTTCTGGAACTCTCTTGCTTTTTTCGATGATCCAGCGGATATTGGCAATTTGATCTGTGGTTCCTCTGCATTTTCTAAAACCAGCTTGAACATCTGGAAGTTCTTGGTTCACGTGTTGCTGAAGTCTGGCTTGGAGAATTTTGAGCATTACCTTACTAGCGTGTGAGGTGAGTGCAATTGTGCGGTAGTTTGAGCATTCTTTGGGATTGCCTTTCTTAGGGATTGGAATGAAAACTGACTTTTTCCAGTCCTGTGGCCACTGCTGAGTTTTCCAAATTTGCTGGCGTATTGAGTGCAGCACTTTCACAGCATCATCTTTCAGGATTTGAAATAGCTCAACTGGAATTCCATCACATCCACTAGCTTTGTTCGTAGTGATGCTTTCTAAGGCCCACTTGACTTCACATTCCAGGATGTCTGGCTCTAGGTGAGTGATCACACCATTGTGATTATCTGGGTCATGAAGATCTTTTTTGTACAGTTCTTCTGTGTATTCTTGCCACCTCTCCTTAATATCTTCTGATTCTGTTAGGTCCATACCATTTCTGTCCTTTATTGAGCCCATTTTTGCATGAAATTTTCCCTTGGTATCTCTAATTTTCTTGAAGAGATCTCTAGTCTTTCCCATTCTATTGTTTTCCTCTATTTCTTTGCATTGATTGCTGAGGAAGGCTTTCTCATCTCTCCTGGCTATTCTTTGGAACTCTGCATTCAAATGGAAATATCTTTCCTTTTCTCCTTTGCTTTTCGCTTCTCTTCTTTTCACAGCTATTTGTAAGGCCTCCTCAGACAGCCGTTTTGCCTTTTTGCATTTCTTTTCCATGGGGATGGTCTTGATCCCTGTCTCCTGTACAATGTCACGAACCTCCGTCCATAGTTCATCAGGCTCTCTGTCTATCAGATCTAGTCCCTTGAATCTACTTCTCACTTCCACTGTATAGTCATAAAGGATTTGATTTAGGTCATACCTGAATCAAATGGTGGTTTTCCCTACTTTCTTCAGTTTAACTCTGAATTTGGCAATAAGGAGTTCATGATCTGAGCCACAGTCTGCTCCTGGTCTTGTTTTTGGTGACTGTATAGAGCTTCTCCATCTTTGGCTGCAAAAAATATAATCAGTCTGATTTTGGTGTTGACCATCTGGTGATGTCCATGTGTAGAGTCTTCTCTTGTGTTGTTGGAAGAGGTGGTTTGCTATGACCAGTGCACACTCTTGGCAAAATTCTATTAGCCTTTGGCTATCTGTATATCTTCTTTGGAGAAATGTCTGTTTAGGTATTCTGCTCACTTTTTGGTTGAGTTGTTTGTTTTTCTGGTATTGAGCTGCATGAGCTGCTTATCTATTTTGGAGATTAATCCTTTGTTAGTTGTTTCATTAGCTGTTGTTTTCTCCCATTCTGACGGTTGTCTTTTGTTGTCTTTTACCTTGTTTATAGTTTCTTTGCTGTTCAAAAACTTTCAAGTTTTGTAAGGTCTCCCTTGTTTGTTTTTGTTTTTATTTCCCTTAATCTAGAAGGTGGGTCATAGAGGATCTTGCTGTGATTTACGCCAAAGTGTATTCTGCCTATGTTTTCCTCTTAAGAGTTTTATAGTTTCTTGTCTTACATGTAGTTCTTTAATCCATTTTGAGTTTATCTTTGTGTATGGTGTTAGGAAGTGTTCTAATTTCATTCTTTCACTTATGGCTGTCCAGTTTTCCCACCACCACTTATTGAAGAGACTGTCTCTTCTCCATTGTGTATTCTTGCCTCTTTTGTCAAAGATAAGGTGCCCATAGGTATGTGGGTTCATCTCTGAGCTTTGTATCTTGCTCCACTGGTCTATATTTCTGTTTTTGTGCCAGTACCATACTGTCTTGATGACTGTAGCTTTGTAGTATAGTCTGAAGTCAGGAAGGTTGATTCCTCCAGCTCCATTCTTCTTTCTCAAGAATTTTTTGGCTACTCAGGGTCTTTTGTGTTTCCATACAAATTGTGAGATTTTTTGTTGTTGTTGTTCTAGTTGTGTGAAAAAAGCCATTGGTAATTTGATAGGGATGCATTGAATTTGTCGATTGCTTTGGGTAGTATAGTCATTTTCACAATATTGATTCTTCCAATCCGAAAACATGGTATATCTCTCCATCTGTTTATGTTGTCTTTGATTTTTTTCATCAGCATCTTACAGTTTTCTGTATACAGCTATTTTGTCTCCATTAGGTAGGTTTATTCCTTGGTATTTTATTCTTTTTGTTGCAGTGGTAAATGGGATTGATTCCTTAATTTCTCTTTCTGATTTTTCATTGTTAGTATGTAGGAATGCAAATAATTTCTGTGTATTGATTGATTTTGTATCCTGTGACTTCACTAAATTCACTGATTGACTCTAGTAATTTTCTGATAATATCTTTGGGATTTTCTATGTATAGTATCATGTTGTCTGTAAGCAGTAAGAGTTTTACTACTTCTTTTCCAATCTGGATCCTTTTATTTCTTTTTCTTCTGTGATTGCTGTGGCAGTACTTCTAGAACTATGTTGAATAATAGTGGCAATAGTGGGCACCATTGTCTTGTTTGAACTAGGAACATTTTTTACTAATTGTGTATATTTTAATGTTTTATATATATATATATATGAATACAGATGTTGATAAAATTAATCAAATTGAGCTTGATTATTTTTTCCATGGAAATTTTAAGTGCTTAATAACTTCATTTGTGTTCAGCTAATATCACTTGGAGACAGAAGGAAGGATATTTCAGAGATTGAAAACTAAAGAGAAAACCCTAAAATGAAAAAAAAATTTAGTTTAATTTTTTTGTTAACTAACATAAGACTGTCATTTTAACCATGTAATTCTAATAATCAGTAAAAGCACTGTACTCGCCTATTTGTTGCCCCTTTTCTAACTCTGAGATACAGGTAAATACCTTCTATTGCTAGGCAACACTCTTGGCATATAAGAATTTTACATTTAAGAGACTTCAAGGTCTAGGACCTGGATAATTTGTAATTTTTTGCCAAAGCTCAAATTTGAGCTATTCTACCATGATCAATGAATAACCTTGCTGACTACCCAACACTCATGTTTCAGGGTGATTTTGGCAGTCTCTGTTTATCAGTTACATGCTTCATGGAGGGAGGGCGTTGTGAATTATATTTTGTAGTAGCATTTGAAATATTGGGTTCAAAAATATCCCAATAGTTTTGTGTCTTTATATAATCATAACTATAGATGTAGTTTGATAGACTGTAAACTTTGTAAATTATCAATGATGAGTCTTTAAACACAAGATGACTTTTCTTTACACTCAGCAGAATCCAGAGATTTCTCTTGCTATAAATGTTAACAAATAGAAATATAATGCAGGACACAAGTGTCAGCTATATATATCATTTAAAATTTTCTGGTAGCCCTAGTTTTAAAAGGAAAAAGAAGGGTTAAATTAACTTTAATAATATTGTTTTTAATCAGTGTATTCAGAATATTGCAACTTGTGATTAATATAAAAAGTATCAGTGAGATATTTTCCTCTTTTTTTCATACCAGGTCTTTGAAATCTGCTATGTATTTTACACTATTGTTAGTGAGTTGGGTCTGGCTGCTTGCTACTCAAAAATCAGAATTCAAGACAAGTGTTGTTAGGAAAGAAAGTTGCTTTTTAGTCAGAATGCTGGCAGTCTGGGAAGATGGTGGACTCAGTGTCCTACAAAAACCACCTCTGAAGATTCTGCTTAGCCATGAAAGTTTTAAAGGAAAAAGGGGACATAATCTCAGTCAACTGAGATAAAGTCTCTGAGTCATTGCCATCCCCCACTGTGTGCTGGCTTGTTGAATTTTTGTGATTTTTCTTTAGATGCTCTCGTTCGTATAGTTTGCATGGATTTGTTCCTGAGATTTCTGAAGAAGAAGCTAGGGAAGAGATCTAGTCCTCTGTTACTTATTCTTCACCTCTACTTATCTGATCTATGGAAAGAACCAACAGGTTAGGCAGTGTACTGTGTCATCCAGAGATCTGATAGTTGTGCCTAAGGCCAGAGATGAGTAGAGGATGGGGTTGCCTGGCTTAAGGTTAGTGACAAGACAGAAGAGACTTCCTGTAGAGAGCTCTTTCCTGCCAAAATCTGTTTACACTACTGCACATCTCAGTTTAGACTAGTGATATTTCAGGTGCTCAGTGACTTCATGTGGGTGGTGGCTACTTCATTGGACAGTGCAGCTCCATACCTTCATTAGGTTCAGAGAATAAAAGGTAACTTTTATATGAGCCTATAAAAAAATAGAAAGGTAAGACTGTTCTGGAAATTTTAGACTAGATAGCTACTAATTTTAACTAACTACTGAATAGCTATACTTCATGATTTGTCTTAGTAAAGCTTTTTATTCAAATGGAAACAAGTATTAATTTGATGCCTAGTGTTTAAAACTAATACAAGCAGAGCTACTTTGATTAGAGTGATGGGGTTGGGTTGGGTTGAGAGATGATGAATGAGCCCTACACTCACAACTCTCAGGTCCTTGCCTGAAGATCACCCAAGCAGATACCCCATGGTCCATTTCATCTCTTACGTTTATTTCACAGAGTCAGTAAGATTAGTTTAACTACTGGTGTTGGTTTCTCATACTCAGGGCCAGCTTTTTTTCCTACCTAACCACATATTTATGTGGCTTTTAATTAAGGAGGAAAGAGAGATCACTAACAAATTGTAAATTTTTAAAGCAGAGAGACTGTCATGCTTATCTTCTTTGTATATACTCAGTACCAACATTATAGGCATTTGATAGACATTCAGTATTTGTAAAATTTGTGATCTAAGAGTCTTTTTTGATACCTTACAGTTTCTAAATTATTTCTATTTGTCCAATATTTTATGTGTCGGTGATTCCCCCTCCCCTCTTTGGCAGGCGTTATGATGCTACAACTTCTGGAAAAAGTGATTGAGTTGGAAAACTGGACAGAGGGGAAAGGTGTTATTGTCCGTGGGGCAAAAAATACTTTTTCTTCAGGATCTGATCTGCATGCTGTGAAAGCACTAGGAACTCGAAAGGCAAGTATTGTATGAATTATGCAGTAGATTCTACGTGTTTGTCAGCCATCTATGGCTAAGATATTTATATTTTACTTATATGGTTATTATGATGACAGCTATTCTCTAATAGCTTTCCAAAGATAAGAGTTTTTGTTTTGTATCTAAACGATTAGCTTGTAATGGTGTGAAGTAATGGGAGAAAAATGAAGGACAGGAAGGTTAGCAGTAAAATGTCCTCTATTAAAACCAGCAAGGATGTGAATTTTTTAAGTGGAAGCCCCTTAGCATCTTATGATACAGAGTTTTGCCTGTGGTACATATATGAAATATCTAGCATGGCTTTGGCAATTGGTAGGCTCCAACAAATGCTGGGAGTTGAAACATTTGCTTTTGAATTATGGTGACAGAAAAGCAGTTGGAATCATCTCTCAGTATTTGTCCTCCAAGGAAGCTGTTTTTCGTGAATTCAGCCCTCCACTAACATTCCCTAGGCAGGAAAAAAAAAAAAGCAGATGAAAGAGAGAGAGGAAAAAGGGAGAAAAATCTATCTGTTACCATTTAATGACAGATGTGAACTGTATGTAGTTAATAATGTTTTAATGTTATTGGACAGCTCTTGCACCACTCTGTGTAGTATAAGGATTTCTGTTTGCATAATATCTATGAGGATGGAGAAGGAAATGGCAACCCACTCCAGTATTCTTGCCTGGAAAAATCCATGGACAGAGGAGTCTGGTGGGCTGAAGTCCATGGGATTACATGACTGAGCTTGTGTGCACAAGGGTGGAGGGAGATGGGTTGGTAGCAATAAACTGGTAGAACTAAAAAAAATATATATATATATATCTATGAGGAAAGATCTCTCTTTTCCTAATTTTGATAGATTTATATTTGAAAGTTGGTTTCAACATATTCTGGCAGGCAGGAGGGTGCCAGCCTAAGAACTGAGTGAGCTGCAGTTTTATAATCTAAGAGAAAGTGGAGACAGGGAGAAGACCACCATCTTCCTTATTCTTGAGGATTCCTTCATCAGTTCCTCCTCTGTGTTGGGTCGGGGATTTTTCTTGTCCCTATGTGGTCAAACTGGCACTGTCATGGTGCAGTGGAAATGAGCAAAAGGAGCTAATATATGCTAAAATATGGTAAATCATCTCAGGTTTCAGTATAATATCATGTTTTCTTATATTTTTGTTTTTACTGTGTATAGAGAACCACATCATAGAAATCATTAACTTACTATGCTTACTGGGCAGGATGTGGGTCTCATTCCACCTTTACTTTATAATTTAGGGGCACGTCTTATGCTTCTGTTGCATGCTTTTGCTGCTGAGGAAGCCTGTTTGGTTTCGTGGTGAAGCGAAACTGCTGTCTTAAGTGATCATTAATTTACTGGCTCTCCCACACTTTGGTTTTATTTACAATCCCCTCCTGGGATTAATTATTTAACCACTTGCTTTGTCCCTTTACTTTATCCCTATCAAGAATACTAAGCCAGCAATCTGAATATATGGAGTCTTACCCAGGCTTTACTAGGAATTTTACTATGGGGCCTGCAAGTCATTTGATTATAATTTTTCACCTCTAGAATGATTCTGTTGTAGACATCTTACTCTGTTCATGAAAGACACTATAAAGATAGAATGAGATACTAATGATAGATTATTGTGGGTCTGGTATAAGTCAGTGTTGGGCTCTACTCTCAGGCCTGGAAAGCCCGCACTTGCCCAGCTTCAAGACTAAAGAAAGAGCCTGGAGTCAGTGACAGCTATCAGTGGGCCAGTGGAAAGAGGGAGCTTACATGTCTGAAGCAAAGTCCTGAGGCAACACCCCACCAGCTGCAGCAGGCAGGGCAGGACAGTCTTTGCTTCATGGAAGAGGGGAGCCACTTATGAGGGGAATTAGCTTCACGTTGGCTCATTGGTTACCAGGGAAACTAGCAGAATGCCCCTCACTGCACCTTTGAGGAGAACAGTGACTTGCAGGTATGTAGAAAGGTCAGCCATGTGAGTAGGGTGTAAACGAAGCAAGCACTGGTCGAGGAAGGGATGTATAGAGAGCCAGGGAAGAGCCACCTTGAGTGGCCTGACCTTACAGTTAGATAAGAAATCATCCCTAAAAATGCGAAAGGTTATTTTGCTTTCTTCTAGTTAGAAGGTTGTTTCTGTCTCTTTAGATTATGTGGCCAGCATTTTTTTTCTGCTATATATGTAAAAACTACAAGTGGAAACGTGCTAATTGTTCACACACATATATATAGTAGGCCTGATGTAAATCAGGTAGGAAAATATCAGACTTTAAATAAGATATCACTTAATAAAGTTTATTCTTTCCAGTGAGGACCTTCTCCAGATAACTTGCTGTCTTGAATGTTAGCAGTAGAGAGAGTACGGATTTTGATCTACGGCTGACAACTCGGGTGATGTGACCCCAGTGCTTAAATAGCACTGCAGGTGTCCATCCCTTGTAGTCACGCACATCTGCCAATATCGATAAAAAAAAAAACCCTGAAATCGTGATTCTGTTTTACAGTGTGTTATTTTCAGGCCCAGAGTGGTTTTAAAATACCTTATTTCAAAATATTTTCTTGTGTAGGTGAATCCTTTATTGTACTTCTATGAAATATCATTAGTCATGGTTATAGGAAATATATAGCATAGAAATAGACAATCTGAATAAATTCTCTTTATGGATAATATTGGGCTTCCCAGGTGGCATGGTGATAGAGCATCCACCTGCCGATGCAGGAGATGTAGGAGACATGGGTTTGATCCTTGGGTTGGGAAGATCCCCTGGAAGAGGAAAGGGCAACCCACTGAAGTATTCTTGCCTGAAAAATTCCATGGACAGAGGAGCCTGGCAGACTTACAGTCCATGGGGGTCGTGAAAGAGTCGGACATGACTTAGCACACACGTGTGTAATGTACCTGTGTGCGTGGTGTATTTGTCACATGATGACTTTAAAATTAACAAGAACTAGAAACAGTTTAAATAAAATTCCTGATGACTGTTTCCATTTCTCATATAGAGCTTATTTCTATATGCCTGAAAAGTAACTAGAAATGTGTAAAACTGAAATTTTAAATAGCCTTGGGATTTTTGAGGCTCATACATGTTTATGAATTAATTGCAGTTGCACGTATGAACACACCTGTCCCTCACAGCTAAGAAATTCTGAGATGCTTAGCATGACTTGAAGTTATACACAGCCTTTCTCTGAACAAAGCTCTTTTTTATCTAGCATACTTACTCTTTGTTCTCAGACATGTGTCACTGCATCTGCTTGTTTGGTTAATTCACTCTCCTGAGGATGGATAAGTAAAATAGATGGTGATTTTAGTAATTGGATTGTTTTTCCTTCAGATTATTAATAAGGTACTCGAAAGTGATTATTAGATGCCTTTTTTTGAAAAAGATAATTATGTTGATGTTTTTGCCACTGTGTTTTTTCAAAGCTTTGAAAACCATTTTGTTAATGAAAATTACCAAATACTAACAAAAGTAGACTTGTTGACTGAAAGAAGATGGGCAACCTAGAAGTTGCGAGTTAACGTTTTATTCTGCGAACATTCTTAGGACTTCAAACCTAAGGGGAGACAGTATATCATAACCCTGAGAAATTGCTCTGATGCTCTGAAGGGGAGCCAAGATATATGGGTGTGTTTGCAACAAAGGGCAAGTAGTCAGGAGATTATTGTTAACTAAAGAAAGCCAGATGTCTGAAGTTAAGGAATTCAGCGCTTTTCTGTGTCCAGGAAGGTTCAAGAGTCTAGGCTCACTGAAATCATCTCCTTTGGTATGTACCTCAGCTCTAGGAGCCAGTGTCCTGTTTTCTTATCCTGAGTTCCCTCAAGCTGCCCTGATGGGAGTGGCTGCAGTCTGATGACTGCTCGATGGGGGTGCATTCTTTGTTTCCATTCTAAGCTCCCTTAGGCGCTAACCATCAGGGTTGACTGTGATCGCTGATGACTGCTCCGTCCTTTATTTACCTATAGGATAGGCAGTATTTTATTTTTCAGACTAATATGTTGAAACCCTCCTGTACTTAGAATGAACGATCATCAACATTGTATTTGCTTATCTATCGTTAGTTTTTTTTTTTCCTTTAGGACCTGGTCTCAAGAGGTTGATTTCATTTTGATACCCTTTGTTTAATGAGCAGGGAAAAAAGCTCTCATTGTTCCTAGTGAAAGAAAGTGAAAGCCACTCACCCATGTCCAACTCTTCGCCACCCCTATGTTCTATATAGTCCATGGAATTCTCTGGGTCAGAATACTGGAGTGGGTAGCCGTTCCCTTTTCCAGGAGATCTTCCCAAGCCAGGGATTGAACCTAGGTCTCTTGCATTGCAGGTGGATTCTTTACCATCTGGGCCACCAGGGAAGCCCCTAATTGTTCCTATTAGACAGTTAATCCTTCATTAAGATGGTCCAAGCAGAGAGATGAATTAGCATAACACAGCATTAGCCCTGAAAAGTTATGGAATAGAAAAAAGGAATAAAAGAGGAAAAAAATCTAGTGCAGTATTAACCCATTTCTAAGATGTGAGTTGATGCTGCAGATGTTCTGCAGACTCTGAGAAGTCTTTTTTCAGAGGACAGAAATAATAAAAATCCAGCTGAAGCTTTAAATTGGGGGGCCGGGAATAAAAACCTTCTTACTCTGCAGTGAATGGGTTTAATATCTTGAGGAAAAGTTTGGCCTTTTAGAAACCTGTATATTCTCTATCTACCTTGAAGATAGTATACTTCTTTGTTGAATGACTTCCCTTGTTAAGTTTCTGCCAGTCTGTTGCCCTCTATTTCTCTGTTGCCTGAATTTTTGCAGCAACCTCAAAGTTCTTGTCTAACTTCTTTGCTTTTGCTGTGATTATTGTACAGTTCCATTGTAGCCTTATTGCTTTGTAGACAAGCTGTTATAAATTTCTCAAAACCCTTCTGTGTATTTTGAAGAGATTAGTAAATTCATACAATAGGCAAATTAGGGGAAAAAAAGGAAGGCTCATTTATGGTTCTCTTACTGGAAGGGGGACCGCTTCCAGGGCCCAAGAGTGAGCTCCTGTCTAACACTTGGAAATGAATTGTCCAAGGAGACACGCATGCTGACAAAGCAGAATGCTTTATTGGGAAGGGATGCCCGGGCAGAGAACAGCAGGGTAAAGGGACCCGGGAGGACTGCTCCGCCACATGATTTGTCTCAGGTTTTATTGGAACTGGAAGTTAGCTTTCCAGGTTATCTCTGGCCAGTCATCTGCTTATATCCACATTTGGTTCGATTCCTGGCAGCACATACATCTCTCAGGCTCGATGGTGTCCGGCAAAAGGATTTCCGGGAGGTTGGCAGAACGTATTATGGGCTGCCATACTGGTTTTTACTACTCATTGATTGCCTTTGTTTTATGAATCAACGTAGTTCTCCACCTCAAATTCATCCGAGTCAGTTAACTTCAACAAGCACAAGCACATACTATATGCAGAATGTTGATTACACTGCTAGCTTCTGAGGATAAAGAAGGCGTTTTGTCAGCCGCAAATTATATAGCAAATGCCATCTCCTCTTCTCCTCCATAAAGCCTCCTTAACTACTCCAACCCAGTGCATTGTTTCTTATTTGCCACTATTCTCAGCTTGTTTAGCATTTCTCAGAATACTTAATGTACTATACCTTGATGCATGATGCATTTCTTTTTTCTCACAAGATTTTTGAAGACTGGGAACCAGGGCTACATTCTACTGATCATGTTCCCTATCTTTATCTTGTATAGATGATGTAACTAATTATAAATCTAACCACAATGTATACAATCTATAAATTCTCTAGTTAAGTTAGAAAGATGAAAATAATACAGAAACACAAAGGAGAAAGCTGTTACTGTGGGATTTAGAAAGTCTTGTTGGAAAAATCTTTGATTGAGGCAATCCTTGAAATAGGTAGAGAAAAGGACCAGCTGTTCCAAATAGTGGGAATGACATGAGCCAAGACATAGAACAACAGTAAATGTAAGGTGTTAAAGGAATGGCAAATAGGTTGTTGCAGAAGAAGTTGGGATGCTTGACTGAAGGGTACTATAGTCAATAAAGTTGGTAAAATAGTTTGGGATCAATTCTTCCCAAGGAATTTTGACCTTATTTTATTGGTGATATGAAATTATCATCCTATAAGAAGGTTTTTCAGGCAGGATGCAAGATATATTTCAGAGGAAAAAGAAATTAAATACAGAGAGGCCAGTTAGGAAACAAGGCTGTTGTGATAATCTAAGCATGAGTAACAAGTTCAAACTTGTGAAAATAGAAGAATGGATTTAAATTGGAAAAATTTCAAAAGAAGGTTTTGAGGGGACATGCTTGGTAACTCAGCAAGCACAGGAAAACTGTGAAATGGAAGAGTTAAAGATAATACCAGGAATTCTGAACCTTTTGAACTAGAAAAACCATTCCTGTTAATTCAGAACTCACTGTGATCTATTACAGAGCATCTAGGTACATTTTCATCTTTCCAACCATTTTTTAAATCAAATAGAACAAGTTTTTAAAATTTTCCATTCCTTCCTTATTGTGTAAGAAAACTGAAGCTCACAGTTTTGACTTGCTCGTTTATGTTTTTATTATGTGGTAATACTTGGGTTATTATGTGGTAATACTTGGGTTAAAAGTCAGCTTTTTCATAGCCAGTTGGTTTTGCCATGCCAAATTTGAAATATTGGCAGAATGTGAAATTTCTTAGCAGGTTTTGGGACTCTAAAGGAAACAGTAGTTGAAGCAATGGGAATGGATGAGACTTCCAAGGAAGAAATTGTAGATAAGGGAGAGAAAGAGAATCATGGATTGGATTTTTGGTAACATGTATTTAGCTGAATTAAAAAGAGACAAAGAAGAAAACTTAGAATATAGTAATCAAAGAAATAGGAAGAGGATCGGGAGTTGAAGTGTTGCTAGAAACTGAGACTATCAAAATGAAAATACTGATCAAAGGAAGATGCTATATATGTTATGGTGATACAGAAGGAGATGAGAATAAGGAAAAGCCATTTAATTTAACAAATAGGAGATTGTTAGAAACCTTTGAGGAAAGTCTTTTGAGAGAAGGCTGAAGACCACATTATACTTGGTTTAAGAAAGTATAAGGGTAAAAAGAAGAGGCAATGAATTTATACTACTATTAAGAAATTTGTTTTTTATATGTTTATATTCTTAGGGGATCAGAGTTTGGGATAATAGGTGGGTATGTCTTATGCCTTGTCCTTCCAGATTACCCTGGGTAGAACTCGACACTTTTCTGAGACCTGACTCTTACACCTGAGTTCATGGTAATACCTCATACAAAGCTGAGTTCAAAGAACCCTTGAAGAGCAACACAATAAATACAGTATCATTTGCATTTCAGACAGCTTCAAAGAGTTTTTAAATGAAAATCTCATTTTAAAAATTTCATTATTTTTGGCTCTATTACTTTCTAAATCCTAAAAGTGTTTTTTTTTTAAATTTCTTATGTGAAATGTTGACATTGTATCTTTGTGTGTATTCTTATTTAAAGGATGGAGTGGCCTTATGCATGTTCATGCAAAACACCTTAACACGATTTATGAGGTAATGTTTCTTTGTTTTTAAAACATGATTTCTTTGCTTTCTTCTCTGTAACCACCTCTGTGTTTTTTCAGTCTTCTAACTTTACTGAGGCTTTCAGTGGCTAAGTCAAAGATCTCTCTTGGTAAATGTCACATGGTACTTGAAAGTATATGGGTTGTTTTCAAATATCTTTTGATACTGATTTTTAGCATCATTTCACAGTGGTAAGAGAACAGACTTTGATTTTGATACCTTTAGACCATGAAATTTTTGCACCTTGTTTTATGTCCCTGGATATGTTCCAGGGTCTCCTAGTTTATAGTTTATGAGAACTTGAATAGAATTTGTATCCTCCTGTTGTGTGAAAATTGTATTAATCTTAATTATGTTGAATTGGTTCATGGTGCCTTTCAGGTCTACTGTATCCTTCTACTTTTCTGTATATTCAGTCCATTAATTTTTGAGAGTTCGATATTGAAACTCCAACTAAAAATCTTTATCTGTTAAAAAATAATTGTAATATATAGTGGAACTGTATGTAACTTTGTTCTGTATTTTCCAAGTCTCCTATAAATGTGTTACATTTTCATAACTTAAAAAATAAAAAAGGCAATAATTAAAAAAGAACACAATTTCTAAAAAACCCAAAATAACTATTTTCTATGCTTTCCACTAGTTAAAAAATAGTCACTGATAGTCTATTCATATTTAGAATATATGAATTCAATATTCATATATTCTTCATATTTAATGATGGATGATTTATTTTTGCCATCAAGGACAGTCATATAATTAGTTGTTGGTGAAGTACATACAAATATTTTAAAAATAAGAGCCTTGAGATGTAAAAAGAGTTTAAGACTTAGCTCTTTTCCCTGAAGAGTTTGTATTTCATTCTAAGCTGGCTATATTTAAGTATAAACATGTGAAAGTTAAATACTGATACTAGAGCAGAAAAGACACATAAAGATAACCTAATATTCAAAATTAGTAGAATGTATAGTGAAGTGATCTGTATCCACAAGGAGAGAGAAAAAGAGTTACCAGTTGGAGAAAGCTTTTACATATTTCTGAGAAAGATGGATTGACTTTGCACCTAAAAGAGGAAGAAAGGGAAAAAAAAATTTGGGTCCTGCCATTATGCATTTGGGGTTACAAACTATGACATGATTGAGGTGATTAGCTTTCTACTTCCATATTCTGAATGTAAAAAAAGTTAAAATTCAGGGAAACTAAGGAAATACATACTTGTTTAGCACACTTATTAATTGGACATCAATGTATTTTTGTTGCTCTTTATATATGAGAGTCTGGGGAGAGTGAATACTGTCTTCATTGTCTTACTTCCTGTTCACCTACTTCTTACCACATTTGACGTTTTCTTAAGTAAATCTTAGAAGTTTTTTTCTTTAGATAATTCTTTTTATTTGGAAGCAGTGTGTGTTAAGAAATGTGCAATTTCTTTAGACCTGCATCTTTTCATTTTGGTTAGACCCACAAAAAATTATATATTTTCGAAACATTTTAAATTCACCTTTTAATACACAGTTCTGCAAAATGGGTCTTTGCAAACATGAAAGGTAAAGATTTTTTTACTTCAGAACCATTCTTTTATGTAGAATCAGTCTCTGGATCATTTGAATGAGGAATGAAAAGATTTTTGATAGGAACCTTCCATACCACATTTCTTCCTTTTTGATACAGCCTTAATTTTCCCATCTGTAATTTGATATCAACAAAAATGGACTAAGACTGAATAATTCCCAATTGTCAGGCGCTTAGAAGTTCCAGGAGCTCTCTACAAGCTTGTTTGTTAGTCACTCAGTCATATCCAACTCTTTGGACCCCATGAACTGTAGCCTGCCAGGCTCCTTTGTCCATAGAATTCTCCAGGCAAGAATATTGCAGTGGGTTGCCATTGCCTTCTCCAGGGAATTGTCCCTATGCAGGGATCAAACCTGGGTCTTCTGCACTGCAGGCAGACTCTTTACCTTGTGAGCCCCCAGGGGGGTCTGTATACAGGCTTACCTCGGAGACATTGCAGTTTGGGTTTCACACCGCCACAACAAAGTGGTATCAGAATAAAGCAAGTCACAGAATTTTTTGGTTTTCCAGTGCATGTGAATGTTGTATTTATACTCTACTGTAGTCTATTAAGTATGTGATAGCATTATGTCTTAAAAAATGTACATATTAATTTAGAAACACTTTATTGCTAAAAAATGCCAATCATCATCTGAGCCTTCAGTGAATCTTAATCTCTTTGATGGTGTAGGGTCAGTATTAATGGCTGCTAACTGATCAAGGTGGTAGTTGCTAAAGGTTGGGGTAGCTGTGGAAATTTCTTGAAATAAGACAACAGTGAAGTTTTCAACTTCACTTGACTCTTCCTTTGATTTCTCTGTAACATCCAGTGCTGTTTGACAGCATTTTACTCAGAGGAACTTCTTTCAAAATTGGAGTCAATCCTCTCAAACCCTGTGGCAGCTTTATCAAATACATTTTCTTAATATTTAAAATCTTTTGTTGTCATTTCAATAGTCACAACATCTTCACCAGGAGTAGATTCCATCTCAAGAAAACACTCTCTTTGCTCATCCATGAGAAGCAGCTCCTCGTCTGTTTATCATGAGATTGCAGCAAAATTAGTCACATTTTCAGGCTCCACTTCTTGTTCTCTTGCTGTTTCCACCACATCTGCAGTTATTTCCTCTAATGATGTCTTGAACGCCTCAAAGTCATCCAATAGGTTTGGAATCAGCTTCTTCCAAACTCCTGTTAATGATGATGTTTTGAGTTCTTCCCACAAATCACAGATGTTTTTAATAATGTCACCAGGCTCCTCTGCCCATGAAATTTTCCAGGCAAGAATACTGGCATTGGTTGCCATTTTTTCCTCCAGGGAATCTTCCCGACCCAGGAATCGAACTCTAGTCTCCTGGGTCTCCTGCATCACAGACAGATTCTTTACCTGCTGAGCCATTGGGAAGGCCCCAACAGCATCTTGAATAATGAATCCTTTCCAGAAGGTTTTCAGTTTACTTTCTCCAGATCCATCAGAAGAATCACTCTCTGTGGAAGCTAAAAGACTAATGAATTGTATTTCTTAAATAATGAGACTTGAAAGTTAAAATTACTACTTGATCCACAGGCTGCAGAATGGATATTGTATTAGCAGGCATGGAAAACAGCTTTTATTTCACTGTACACCTTTATCAGAGCTCTTGGGTGACCAGTGCATTTCATTGTCAATGGGCAGTAATAGTTTGCAAGAAATCTGTTTTTTCTGAGTAGTAAATCAGCAGTGGACTTAAAATATTCAATAAACCACGTTGTAAACCACGTTGTAAACTGATGTGCTCACCCAGCCTTTGTTGTTTCGTTTACATAACACTGAGTAGATTGAGCATAATTCTTAAGAGCGCTCGGATTTTCATAGTGGCAAATGAGCATTTAGTTTCAACCAGTAACAGCTGCCCCTGAAAAGAGAGTCAGCCTGTCCTTGAAGCTTTGAAGCCAGGCATTGACGTCTCTCTCTAGCCGTGAATTTCAGTCCTAGATGGCATCTTCTAATATGAGGTTGTTTTGTCTGTGTCCTCACCTTCATGCATTATCTTAGATCTTCAGGATAACTTACTGTAGCTGGCATCTGGTCTGCATCAGCACCTGCTGCCTCACCTAGCACATTTATGTTATGGAGATGGCTTCAACCTCTGCTAGCTTCAGACTTTTCTTCTGTGTCTTCCACATCTCTCTCAGCCTTCATAGAACTGAAGAGAGTTAGGACCTTGCTCTGGATTAGGCTTTGGCTTAAGGAAATGTGGGTAATTTGATCTAATATCTGAACCAATAAGACTTTCTTCCTATTAGCAATAAAGTTGTTTTGCTTTCTTATCTTTCCTGTGTTCACTGGAGGAGCACTGTTAATTTCCTTCAAGAACTTTTACTTTGCATTCACAACTTGGCTAACTGTTAGCCAAAGCCTAATCTAGCACAATAAGTGAAAGCGAAAGTTGCTCAGTTGTGTCCGACTCTTTGCAACCCCATGGACTATATACAGTCCATGGATTTCTCCACGCCAGAATACTGGAGAGGGTAGCCTTTTCCTTCTCCAGGGGATCTTTCCAACCCAGGCATCGAACCCAAGTTTCCCACATTGCAGGTGGATTCTTTACTAGCTGAGCCACCAGGGAAGCCCAGTAAAGTGAAGTGCAATAAAATGAGGTATGCTTGCATTACACAGAAACAACTGTTTATTTGGAAGAAAGTTAATATGTCTATAGTTTAAAATAAATAATGATTTGGAGAGGTATGTTGATCAGTTTGGGGCTTCCCTGGTGGCTCAGAACAGTAAAGATGGCAGTGCAGGAGACCCAGGTTAGATCCCTGGGTCAGGAAGATCCCCTGAAGAAGGGAATGGCTACCCACTCCAGCATTCTTGCCTGGAGAATTCCATGGATTGAGGAAGTTGGCAGGCTACAGTCCATGGGGTGGCACAGAGTTGCACGACTTAGCTACTAACACCTTCACTTTGACAAGTTTGCATATCATTTAGTATGAATTATTATATTTTCATTATTAGACTTTTGCTTCTCATGGTTACAGGCTAATGGTTCTACTGTACTTTGAGGTGGGCTTGTTTTTATAAACATAGATCAATAATTTTGTTTCTACTATATCTCAAGTTTTTAAAATACTTGTAGATTAATATCAAAATTTAAAATATTAACATCCATTTTTCCTTCTTCCTTCAATATACAGACTTCCTTTAATAAGCGTTGCACTGGTTCAAGGTCGGGCATTGGGTGGAGGAGCAGAAGTTACTACTGCGTGTGATTTCAGGTAGGGTAAACATTGTATTGCTCCTTGCACAAATATAATTAACATGTGTGAAATTTATTTCTTTGCCCGAATTATAGGTATTTTATATATTTTTAAATAGGATGATCGATGAGCAAATATTTTCTTTCTGCCAATCATATCATTAAAGTAGATAATCTTAATCAGTCTAATGTAACTCCATAATTACTTCATTGCTGTGCATTTCAGAAAGTTAACAAAACAAAATGATTTTGAAAGAAACAAATCCATATTAACAAAGTCCCTGGGGAATGAAGCCGAGGAAATACATGAAACTTTAAGAGTCACAGGAATTATACAAGAAAAGAACTAAAAAATAAAACCAAAGAAATAAAGAGAACGGGGAAAGGGTCTGCCTGAGTATTCCTCTTACTAATAACAAGAGGTTTTCTCAGACCCTGTCTCTACTGTGATTTGTAGAAACTTTGTGGGGAGTTTGGGCTGATTAGAGAATTCATTTAGAGAAAATTATTTGGTACCAATTAACCCTTTAATCCTAGGATTCTTTTTAGTATTGGATAGCTGTACTTTAGGAGAAGGGAATGGCAATCCACTCCAGTTTTCTTGCCTGGAGAATTCCATGGATGGAGAAGCCTGGCGAGCTACAGTTTGTGGGGTCGTAGAGTCTGATATGACTGAGTGACTAACACACGCAGCTGTACTTTATAGGAATGATACAGTTTTTGTAAGGCTTTCTATATTTTGGTTTTGTGTGTATAAAACATAAATGTCAGTTTAATGACTTGCTACAAAATAGGAAGCTATGTAACCATCTTATAGGTCAAGAATTGAAACATTATCAGCATTCCTGAACTCCCTAAGGCATAACCCCTTCATTTCCATCTGTAAGAAAGTATTACCCTAAATTTTATAATTGCTTTCTCATTTTCCGTTATAGTTTTATAAGTTAACTATTGTATAACCAATATATTCTATTTATTTTCCTTTTGAACTAAATATAAATAGCATACTAATAGAAATACTATGAGGAAAGATTCAGTTAGCTAATTTATGCAAAAGAGGTAACTTTTTTCAATTTATGATTCAGGTTTCAGTTTATAAGTTGAAACATGTCACTTTGTAGTCAAATAAATTGAGATTTTAAAATAGTTTGGATGTATAAGACAAATTACAAAGATCCCAGTCTCTTTGAAAACTGTGCTAAAGTTGCTTTAGTTGCGTCTGACTCTCTGTGACCATATGGACTGTAGCCTGCCAGGCTCCTCTGTCCATGGGATTCTCCAGGCAAGAATACTGGAGTGGGTTGCTATGCTGTACTCCAGGGGATCTTCCCGACTCAGGGATTGAACCTGCAGCTCCTATATTACACGCAGATTCTTTACCTTTGAGCCACCGCCACCTGGAGAAGCCCGTTTGAAAACTAGTACTTGCTAATTGGGGAGGATTCTTGTATGCAGCAAAAGCTGGTCATTTCATATGACACTGCCCTCTGCTGTCATCAGTGCAGGTTGCATTCAGCTCAGTTCAGTCACTCAGTTGTGTTCGATTCTTTGAGACCCCGTGGACTGCACGCAGTACACCAGGCCTCCCTGTCCATCACCAACTCCTGGAGCTTACTCAAACTCATGTCCATTGAGTCAGTGATGCCATCCAACCATCTCATCCTCTGTTGTCCCCTTCTCCTCCCACCTTCAGTCTTTCCCAGCATCAGGGTCTTTTCCAAGGAGTCAGTTCTTTGCATCAGGTGGCCAAAGTATTGGAGTTTCAGCTTCAGCCTCAGTCCTTCCAATGAACATTCAGGACTGATCTCCTTTAGGATGGACTGTTTTGATCTCCTTGCAGTGCAAGGGACTCGCACGTGTCTTCTCCAACACCACAGTTCAAAAGCATCAATTCTTCAGTGCTCAGCTTTCTTTATGGTCCAACTCTCACATCCATACATTTCTACTGGAAAAACCATAGCTTTTATTATACGGACCTAATTCCAGATTCTATCAGGAAGCTACATTTCATTCTGTGAGGAGGAAGGAGTTATATTGGCTTTATGGACAATATGAGACTAAATTGAAAATGTGTGTGAAAGGATTAAATGCTTTTCTCGCTTTACCCTGAAATAAAGGTACTTATGAAATATATCATTTAAATATATAACTATATAATATATAAATATAAAGTATATATTTAGATATAATATAATATATTTAAAGAATCCTAAGCTATATGTAAGTATACATTATTACACTTAAAAATCCTCTACATGAAAGTAAGTGAAAATTAAAACTTTATAGATGTACTCTCTAACACAGAGTCGTGTGCTTATCTTTAAGCATTTGCTAGACTTTTGTTTCATCCTTTATACTCATTCCTGATCTGTGTTTCGGTGGAGTTAGAGTTCAGGACAAAAGGCAAAATCACAGAAAAAATAATTAAAGATTACTTAGTCCTTTAATACTATGTTTGCTATGTTTTTCTATAAATGAAGTGTCTTATGTCCTACAACCTCATAAAATGCTGTTTTTTTTTATTAGAAATCTGATGGTACTACCCTCATCAGATATATTCAGTATCATAAACAAGATACAGTCACTTTTCCATGAAGACATATTCATTTGTGAATCAACTACTTGGCTTGTATAGATCCTCATATTAAGCTGCATTCAGTAGAGTCATTCATTAAGCATATGTTTATCACACATTTATGCTAGCTTGGCACTGCCATTCAAGAAAGTTGTGCGTTTTGATTTTTTGTTTAGTATTTTTAGTAATACAGTTTTATTACATTTTATAAAATTGTTGGTTCACAACTTTCAAGAAGTTTAAAAAACATAGAAACTGATCCTTCACAATAGAAGTGTGAAAACGCTCTCTTAGACTATTCAGCTCTTTTAAATGTACACACTCAATACAAGAGTTCTTAAAGGTAAAGGGTAGTGGAGAGTCTTGTATAACTGAAGTACATTCCTAACCACTAGTTATAAGTTAGTGATGAATCAGTATAAATTACTCTAGCTGATCTTCCACCTAACTTTATCATTGCTCTGTTGATTATTTTCTATAACAAACTGTAAACTATTTCAGGAGATGAGAAATACTTTTTTTTGAGAAATACTTTTAATATGAATATTCCTAATAAATGAGCTTATACAGCATTCCAGCATTACTCCCCTCTTTGCCCCAAAACCCTTTAAGCACCAGCTGATAATACGTGTAATAAATTAATACATTAGAACCACTCAGATCTACATGACATATATAGACTCTTAGACTGAATTGCCTCCAGTTAAGTCACAATTTTCATGTAAAACTTGCTTAGAGAAAATGGCTTTTAAAAAACATTTTCTAAAGCTGGTAACTTAAAAATTGGCATTCCACAGTGCTCAAAAACTCGTCATTCAAACATTATGTTTCTCTTTAGTGACAAAATTGATGAGGAAATGAAAAGCTAGAACTGTGATAAAATCATCTGCTTCTGACTTTTAAATTTGTCTTGATTAAATGAAACACAAATTAAGAAAATATGTATTTGAATATTAGTTTTCTATTGCAGCCATAACAAATCACCACAAATTTAGTGGCTTATAACAGCACCCGTTTATCTCACAGATACATAAGTTGGAAGTCTGGCTGGGCCGAACTGGCTTCTCTAAACCTGTCACGCAAGGCCCAAGTCAGTAGGTTGACCGGACTGAGCTCTAAGGACTCGGGGGAGTGTGCACGTCCAGGCTCATCCTGGTCACAGCTGGCAGAATCCAGTCCCATGCACTTGTAAGACTGAGGTCTCTGTTTTTCTGTCAGCATGCCAGCCAGGGGTCAGTCTTCACTCTTGGAGGATGCCTGTATTCCTTCTCATGTTTTCCATGTGACCCCCTTCAGCAGTGGGGGGGGTTAAGTTCCTTTCACACTTTAAATCTTTCTCACTTTTCCCTCTGCTGCATCTCTCCGACTCCAACTGGAGAAAGTTTTCTGCTTTTAAGAGCTCGCTGGTTAGAATGAGCCCACTCAGATAATGCCTGGGATAATGCCTCTATTTTTATTTATATATATATATGTGTGTGTGTATATATATATATAACCTTAATTAGATCTGCACAGTCCCTTTTATCATGTAAAGTAACGTATAAACAGCTTCCTGGGATTAGGGCCTGGACGTCTTTGTGGGACCATTCTACCTCCGTCACAAGGGCTTGTCATAGAGAATATAGTTGTCAGTTTGTTTTTTTTTTTTTGCTAACTTTTATATTCCTATTTGATCACTGATTAAAATTGGTAACTTTGTTAATTAAAATTGGTAACTTTGTTACCCTAAGTTACCTTTGTGAACTGCATCTTTTTAAACTTGTTTAGATACACCAAATTGATAAAGGTTCATTGTTCCAAAAATTACTTAATGTGTTATTATATTATAGTTTCTTAGATTGGTTTCAAGCTCAAGATCCTAGAGTGTGCTTTAGGAGGTACTTAGAACACTCATTCCTTGATTCCCCTTGTCTTATTCCCTATCGTTCAACAAAAGGAAGGGGGTGGGAGAGGCAAGGGGAAAGGAAAGAAAATCTCTCAGAAATATCCTCGAAAATAGAAAATGACAAACTCAGACTGCTTGAGTTTTCACCATCAACTTTTGGCAGTCAGAAACATGTGAACAGTTTAATATCTTGTCTGTTATTCAATTTTTGCTACTTAGTTTGGTATAAGAGAGAAATTGGAATTGTGTTTTTGGTTTGAAATTACAGTCAGCCCTCTGTATCTGTGGGTTTCAAATTCAAGATTTCAACCAAGGATTGAAAATACTCTGGAAAAAAAATTCCAGAAAATTTCAAAAAGCAAAACTTGAATTTGTCATGTGCTTGCAACTAACTGAATTAGGTATAAGTAATCTAGAGATATTTAAACTATATGGGAGGACGTGTACAGTTTATATAAAAATACTGTACCATTTTGTATAAGGAAATTAAGCATCTGAAGATTTTGATATCTGTGAGGGATCCTGGAACCAGTTGTGGAATGGACAAAGACTCTCTGTA